CAGACCATGGCAGACAAACCTGAAGAATCTGAAGTCCTATTTCCAGAGTCTCTGCTGAAGAACCAAGAGATCTTTTAACATTCAAAGGTCAAAATTGACCACTGAACTGCTCAGTGGTCAGAATTTCTCTGCAGCTGAGGACACAAATACAGCCTTAAGGGGACATAGACCTCAGATATCAAACATCAAACTAAAGACATGGGGCCGTCTTGAGTTGCACCGGTAAACTGATTGCATTTCAAGAGAAGTGTGTGTAACACACACAGGCCATCAGAAAGGTTCCTTGTCATTCACTCAGTGTTTATCAAGTACCTACCACCACCAGGCTGGCACTGAGCACACGGAAATGGAAAAACCCTCAAGGAACTTACAGACCTCGTGGGTGAGGCAGATAAGCAGCCCAACCATTGCCAGGCTTTCCAACAGATGAAAAGAAAGAGTGACATCTTTGGTGCTATGGAGAGAGGAGAGGCATCTCCGTCAAATAGTTTCAGAAGGAACATTCAAAACTGGGGTGGAGAGAAGGGGACACAAACTTTATCATTTGCTTTTCTCTTCCTATTGCCACAAGGTGTTTAAAAGACCTCAGATCCACTCCTGGTTTATACCCAAAAGAATTGAAAGCAGGGACTGCAATAGATACTTACAACCCATGCTCATAGCAGCATTATTCAAAATAGCCAAAAGGTGGCAACAACCCAAGTGTCCATGGACAGAAGAATAGATAAACAAAGTGTGATGCAACATGCAAAAAAAAAAAAATGTGATGCTACACAATGGATTATTATTCAGCCTTTTTAAACAAAGGAAATTCTGACAGGCTACGATATTGATGCATTTTGAAGACATTATGCCAAGTGAAATAAGCCAGACATGAAAGGACAAATACTTGTGATTTCGCATCTATGACACCTAGAGTAGCCAAATCCATAGGGACAGAAAGTAGAATGGTGGTTGCCAGGGACTGAAGGGAAGGGGGAGTTACTGTTTAATGGAAAATAAAAAAGTTCTAGAGATGGATGGCAGGGATGATTGTACAACAGTGTGAATGTACTTACTGCCATTGAACTTTACACTTAAGAATGGTTAAAGTGTTCAATTTTGTGGTATGTGTTATTTACCATCATAGGCCTCAGACAGTCTCACTCATTGGTTCTGCAAGTGAGGAAACTGACATCCAGCTTCTCTTTGAGCAGAGACTGGAACACAGACCCCCTACCGCAGTGCTCCTTTGTCTGCCCCACATAATAATAATAACTCATACAGCATATTGTGCCAGGTGGGATTCTAAGCATTTTAAATGTATTAACTCATTCAATCCGCACAACAACCCACGAGGTAGGTTGTTTCTCCCTATTTCGGAAGTGAGGAAACTCAGGCACAGAGAATTTGCGTCATCTACCAAGACACCCAATGAGCAACAGGTCTACTTACTGGTTCCAGAGTGGTGCACTTAACTACTGCACTCCCAGATCTTAGCTATCACGTCCTACCCTCGAAAACAAGAATTCTGTCCATCCTCAGCACAGGAGACTGCAAAAATGTCCCCAGATGTTCACCCCTTTCTCATCCACGCCCTCTGCAGTGTAACCTTGCAGCTTACTGCATCCAGAGGCAGAAACTACTCCTTCTTTCCTTGAATCTGGACTTGCCTTGAAATTTGCATTGGCCAATGGAAAGCCATGAGAGATGATTAAGGGGTTCCCAGCACAAGCCGCAAGAGGTCTGGTATGCTTTCTCTTTTTCAGAGCCCTGCCTCTGTCGTGTGATGAGGTCTAGGCTAGCCTGCTGGAGAATGAGAGGCCAGGTGGAGGTGGCCTCAGCTGAGGCCACTAAGACCAGTCTACATTAGCCAGGGCCCAAACATGTGAGAGAGCCCAGCAAGATCAGCTGAGCTCAGTCCAGAGGCAAGATAATGTCTTCGGTTCTGCATACATACAGGCCAATTGCTTTCCAGAACAACTGGAATGAAGGAAAACATCTGACTTGGAATAGAATCGGGCCAACAGTTGGCTTTCCAGGCTGTGGGAACGGCACAGGCAAAAGAAAGCTGGAAATGTGGGGGGTGCGTTTAGAGACCAGTGAGTAGCCCATTGAACTACAGGCCAATTGTGTTTAAGGGATTAATGGGAAATAGACCTGGAGAAGTAGGTTAGACCTGGCTTAGTTTCTTCCTAAGATACTAAGAAGCCGTCATATGTATCACATGTTCACTTTCTCTTTACAATACCGTAAAGTATTATGACTTCCAGTTACAGAAAAGAGGTCCCAAGTCAAGATTTAAATATAGGCAATCAGAGCCCAGAGCCTGCTTTATCCGCTTACGACAAAACCATGATGGAGAGACTGACGGTGGGAAGAACTTCAGAACTTCGTAAAGACACCATAACAGCCAATAAAGCAATTGTGAGGGCCTGGCCTGAGGCAATGGCAGTGGGGACAGATGGAAAACAATAGCCATGGGTGACATGCAAGGGGACGGGCTACAGGACTAGACAGCAGATTGAGTGAACAAGGTGAAGAATGAAGGGAGTCGCAAGGGACTGCTCAGATGGTGAGCCCGGGTGACGGAAAATGATAGGTGTCGTGATCAGATACTCAGAATGCAGAAACTGGTTCGAACATGTTGATTCTGAAATGCCCTGCATGGAATGAACACGTGGAGGATTGCACGCAGGTTGAATGAACACAGAGTTAAGGCATGAGAAACATGTTCGGAGTGATCTGCATAGAGCTAAATCTCAATTTCTTCATTTGCAAAATGAAGTTGTTGTTCCAGATGCTGAATTATACCCAGCATGAAAAACAGAATTTCTATCTTTGACAATCTATTGAGTTTTACTGAAAAGTTATTTTTATTGGTAATCAAGTGGGAAGGAAAGTAATGAACTTGGATGTTATTTCACTCAATAATACTGAATCTTCCCCTTTTTGCAATTTTTACTGACACTTAAGGTTTTATGATTCTGGTATCTATAAGCTTTTGAAAATCTAATATTTAGTCCCAATTTTAAAATGTCATGTCTTACAGATTATTTTTTGCTTGTTTTGTTTTGTTTGATTTGTGAGACCAAAATCAAATTTTAAAAGAAAAAGGGTACAGTAGCTAATAGTTACTGCATACCCACTATGTGCCTGGCATTCTGCATGTACATTTTCTCCTTAAAATATAGTTTTGTGAGGAGTAAGTAATTTTAACCCAATTTTACAAATGAGGAGATGAGGCTTACAGGTTAAATAATTTGACCAAAGTTAAAGCTAATTAAGTGAAGTAAAGTGAGTTTTATATGTTATAGACTTCCTACTCACTGGTATTTTTATTGCAATGTTGACTAATCTGAGAGGAAGGTAATAAATGTTCTCCTCCCCAGAACAGAGTGGTTGAGAACACTGCTCAAAGATTTCCGCTCCTATTCAGAACAGAGGATCTCGTGTGTAAGGAGCAGGGAAGAAAGTGCCTCAACTGCAGCCTGATGAGAAACAGATGCGAATTCAAATCCGCGTTCTGCCATACCCATTTGTAGCATTTGGCGAGCGCTTAACCCATCTGAGTCACCATTTTCTCAGCTGTAAAACTCCGAAAAATAAAAGGTCATGTACAAGGTTATTATGAGAGCCCAGAAAGAAGGGAAAGGGGCCAATGATGAGAACTCATATCGTCTTGGAGATGATGACTTAAAAAAGAAAGAGAAAGAGAACACGTGAAAGCATCTACCTCATGCCTAATCAGCGTACTCAATAAATATTTCCTTTTTCTTTTCAAAAACTTTCAGATTCCAAAACTTATGGCTGACCTGTGGACTTTAAATAAAGGATATTTATCATTTCCCAATTTTTATGTTCATGATCATCTTTATTGGATTTAAATTAGCAATGCATATCAGTGCGGCCTATTTTTTAATTAGCAAGGCATCAAGTGATTCTTTTCAAATCCCTGATAAGTGGGTCACTAAAACATTGCCATGTCAAAGTTAATTATTGGTCTGTCCCCATTAAAATGTAGAGGTGGCATATGTTCCACATTACCCACTCAGCACACGCAGGAAACAAGAGACCCACCTGTGAGGCTGACTCACTCACATCAACTCCCAGCACAGTCAGCACCTCTGATTCATTCATTCATCGAATAATAAATCTCAACTGAATGACATGCACCTCGAACGAGGATTTACGTTTATACGTGGCTCTTTTCCTGGGCAGGACCTGAAACAGTTTGTTCATCAGTAAGCTAAGAATCTGGAAAGATACTGCTTTTAGCTCTTTCACTTTTCCAATGGTGACTCCTGTATTCTTTCCTCAAATGCTCTCTTCCCCCCCCCCACCCCCATCACAAGATATATGCGATTAACTTATCCTCATTAAAGCATAGATGAGTGATGAAGCCTAACGTCTCCTAGGGGTATTTGATTACGCCATGATTGGGAATAAGGTCACTGGCCTAAATGAAAGGAATAGGATTCTCCCGATAAATGGTAAAGCATGTAAGAAGCAACAAGAAAGGACATTTTTAGTCACAAATCTTTATGCTGCTCTCCAAGTCGACTCAGGAGGCCACCACCGGCGCTTAAACCAGGATACGTCAATCACGTAGCCCCGAGCGCCTTCATTCCGTCCCCACAACACTGATTTCATGGAGTAGGTGCAACACTTGCTGGCAGAGCTACAAGGCCTAGTTCTGGTTATGCCACCACCACCACCACGACAGCTTCCACGGCCCCATCATTAGCTCCTGGGATGCTCAGCTGCTGTCCTGGGAGATACAAACCCAAGCCCTCCACTCAGAAAAGCAGCTGCCTGTCCAAGAGAGGACAACCACAGCAAACGTCCATGTTAAGCTCTGAAAGGCACGTCTTTCCAGGACCGAACAAGTCTCTGTAAACTATTCCCCACTTGGTTCTCCACCTAAAAATTGGCAGTTTTCAACACGAAAGGTGTCAGTGAGCTCCCACCCCCGGCCAAAGTGCTACCAGGGGAAGACTGAGCTCCTGGGGGTAACTTACCTGAGATCCATGTCTCCATCAACCCAGAAGGTGAAGATGTTAGAGACGGTTCCCCCCGGGCAGCACCCCATGATGAGAACAGCAATCGCTTGGATGGGCTGTAGGGAGAAGCTGATGACCAGGAGATAGGCGATAAGAGGCATGAGCCCAAACTGGCAGAGCAGCCCCACCGCAATGCCCCAGGGTCTCCTGATGTGCGACCACAGCTTCCGGATCTCCACAGAGCACCCCAGCGAGAACATGACCAGGCTCATCATCACGGCTAACACCACTGTGAAGACAAGTTTCAGGTTCCCAGGTGCCTGAAACCCCACTGGCAGCTCCTCCTCTGAGCTGTTGGCAGCGCAGGCTGAGCCGCTGGAGCAATTTGTCCTCATCTCTTCATCTCCTTAAGGCAGCATTAAGAGTGAACATCTGCCGAGGCGGCTGGGCATGCCTATCCTGCCGCGTTTTGTAATAATGCAACAAAGTCACACGTGGAGAATCATTCCAATAGCTATTGGCCAGCCAGCTTGATTCACCCTAATCTGATCAATTTCTTTACGACTTCGTAAAAGCAATTATCCTGGCCATGAGACGTATAATAAACTGCGCTAAGTAAGGCTTTCCACTTCTGTTCTTACTCACCACTGAATCTTAAAGAGAAATGAGACAAGCAAACTCATTGTCAAGTGGAGTGATTGGGCTGTGTCGTCAGCATCACATTGTGTTTCAGGAAAGTAGGGTGGATGCCAAGATGTAATTTCTCCAAATTCAGTGGGGATTTCAAAGAGCCAGGATGCAATTTTTTTTTCGGAGAGAGAGAGAGGCTAATTCTGGAAGAAAATAAAAAAAATAAAAAACAAAGTCAATTAAACCAAAGCCCTGTGTCATGAGCAAAGCATTAGCAAAGAATTTCTGTTGAAAATATTAAAGCCAAAGGCTGCCAGTTAAGGACATGGCAGGAGATACTAAGGCTCATTTCAAGAGCACTTTAAAATCAGTCCCCCTTTTTCTTCTTTCCACTTCTCTGAGTTTGTGTCTAAAGTCAATAAGGAAATGCCTGCAAGAATAATGTGATATAAAGCCTGATTATGCCTCATGAAACGAGGAACCTCATTTCTGTTCCCAACATAATGCAAGGGAGCTGTCACTTTCTTTGGGAGGATAGTGCGGCTTTGTGATGCACCCTCGGGCTTGCTGGTGACGTCTGGCAATGCCTGGAGGGAATGCAGTCAAGAGCTCGGTCTGAGAAGCCTCTGAGGTCAGCCTCTGACCACAATGGCCCAGGGCCCCTCAGTGTGTTCTAACCGGGCACCGCTGGCGAAACCAGACGAGGAAAACACGGGTCTGTGAAACTAAACCTCCAAAAACACAGAGGCCACACCCTTTCCCACAGAGAGCAGGAGGTTATTTGTGGGGCAAGGGTTGGCGACAAGGTACACTTTATAAATGCCTCCGCCTGTCTTAAAGGGGAGACTAGCTATGCATTGTTCATGGTTTGATGAGCACATTCTTCATGACAAAATGGGCTTGTTTACTGTATAAAAAAAATATGAATTGAATACAAATGTAAAATAAAACCTATTTGAAGAAAGGATAGATGCCTTAGGCCAAAACACCCGAAAGGCAGCTCTGAAGGTGGAACCCTGCTGGAGGCCACTGGAGGTCAGAGTGATGACTGGCTGCCACCAACTTTTGTTTTATGCTGACAACAAGCCAGCCCTCACGCCCAGCTTGGAGAGCCCGTCAGAGGCAACCCAGAGCCATCTGAGGTGTGTTCACACAGAGCCAAGCCGAGAAATGGACACTCAGGGACCGGTCAAAGCTCCGTGCTTCCAGCCACAATAATGCAAAAGTGCGGCAGAGTTAAGGGGGAGGGGAGGAGGGAGAGAACTAATTTGGGGAGTACCTACTGGGTGACAGGAGCATGCTAAGTGCTTTATGCATAGGTGCCTGTTGATGAAGCAGAACTTTTTCATTGGGTTATTTAATAAGAGAAGGGATCAGACATTTCTTTCTGGATAGCATCAAAAAGTTCCTTGGCAGACCTTCTCTGTTCCTGAATTTACAAATTTAAGAGGAGAGTCACCTGAATTTACAAATTTAAGAGGAGTCAGCACCTCCATTGCTGAATGAGGAGCTGTGCTAGCAGGTGGTAGCAGGTAGCTGAGGAGGCGCCTGCATGTGCTCTCTGCACTGACGGAGCTTCTTAGAGGGACACGTGACCGTGGCCACTACCTTTTGAAATGTATTGTCATCAGGATGTTTCACCTGAATTAGGATGGTTCCAACCGACACCCATTGGCAGGAAAAGATGCCAGGGTCCCACAATCCACCATGAAAGCATGTCTAGACCGTGACAAGTTCCGCTGGATCCAGTCCAGATGTCACACAATGACCGAGCGGTTGTAACCTGAGGAGAAGTAACCTTAAGAGGCCACATCCTAGCAACCATGTTGTGTGTGCCAGGATTGGGACCGAAGGCAGCAGTAAGGGCCATTAGACTGGGTGGGGCCAACAAGTACCAACAAAAACAATAGCAGCTGAGCCCGGCTGGTGTGGCTCAGTGGTTGAGCATAGACCCATGAACCAGGAGGTCATGATTGGATTCTAGGTCAGGGCACATGGCCAGGTTTCAAGCTCAATCTCCTGCTGCGGGCAGGAGGCAGCCGATCAATGGTTCTCTCTCATCATTGATATTTCTATCCCTCTCCCTTTCTCTCTCTAAAATCAATACAAACATTTTTTTATATATATAAAGAAAACAATAGCAGCTGAAACCAGAGCCTACACGTGACTGGTCAGGCTTTTCCAAGTTTCTCTCCATGTGGGGTTGGAAGGGAAATTTCTTTGGAAGAGTAAGCCGCTGGGGTTCTTGCTTAATTTGTAAAGGATATTTAAAGTAGGGGATTCTAAACTTATTGACATATAGAAATTCAAAATTTAATTAGAAAATTTAAAAAGATATGAGCAAACCTATACCTTGGGGTACAACCTTACCCCCGGCTGGTGAGGCGGGTCATGGGGTCCTACTGAATCTTCTCATCCATTCTGAGAGGTATGTGCTATGATGCTGCACTTCACAGGTAGGAAACAAAGGCCTCATGGGGCTACGTGATTGGTCCAAGGTTACTAAGCAAGTAAAATAACCACAGGATTGAAATCCCAGTGTGGCGCTCAGCCTGCTCTCATTTCCCTGGAGCAGGCTGAAGTGGGAGCTATGGAAAGCAGTCTGGAACACAATCGTGCCAAAAGACTGACAACCACGCAGGGGTAAAACACTATTTGGCATAAAGGCGAAGAAAAAAAACCACCAACCCCTAATCTTTCATTCCATCGCATACTCTCATAAATGTATAAGGCACCTGAACATGTCCAACATATATGCACCTTAATTTTGAGATCCAGTTCTACAAATCACAGAAGTGTTTCATGTATTTCTGTTCTCTGCAATGAGAATCAGGGGAGAAAGAGAATCTTCCGCAAAACCAACTGGAAGGCCTGTGCTCTTCAGTCTGGAAATGTGAACACTGAAGGGAAGGCACGAAAAGGAAAGGTAATCAAATATGGCTGCGGAGTTGTTCTCCAAATTGAAAATTACCGCAAGGGGGAATTTCTAAAAGCTTGAAGGGCATAAAATAGCCTAGAGGCTCCAGAAGAGTTCCAAAACAAGTTTGAAGAAATTAGTCGTAAGGAAGCGGAAGCAGTTTACTCGACATCACACAAGGTAAAAAGCGTAATTCTGTATTTAAAAAAAACAAACTTCAAAAAACAAAAATCACTATCACCTCACAGAAAAAAATATAAAAGAGAGAGAGAGAGAGAGAGACCAATGATTTAAAAGAAAATTTACAAAATCATTAACAGGCAGAGGGATCAATATCACTAATCATTTTTTAAAGTACATTAAAATATGTTGCCTATCAAAAAGAAAAAAAATTAAGATAAATATCCCTTACTGACAAGAGTTGAGTGAAAGACACATTCTCATACACTACAGGTAAGATAAAAAAAATTCACACAACCTTTCTGGAAAACTCTGGCAATATGTACTAATAGCCTTGTCACAAAAAGCTGTCTTAGTAAATAAGCTGCAATACTGGCAAAAAAAATGTATTATTATATATATATTATGCCTATATATAAAGGCATTGTTATTTATAAGTACATTCTTACTTATAATAGCAGTATTATTTAGAAAGCAGAAAACTGAGAACCACTTAAATGTCCAAAGTAAAATTTAAGTAAATTATAGTACAACCATACAATGAAATATTATGGAGCTATTTAAAATGTAAACATTTTAACAAAGATAAATGTGTATGTTAGAAAATTTAAGCAAAAATAAAAATCGAGATCAAATGGTATAGACAGAATTCTCAGTCTGGCTAATGTGGTTCAGCTGGTTGGAGCCTTCTCCCGTGCACCAACATGTTTCAATTCCCAGTCAGAGTACATACCCAAGTTTCTGGTTCAATTCCCTGACAGGGGGCCTACAGGAGGCAGCCAACTAATGTTTCTCTCTCACATTGATAGTTCTCTCTCTCTCTCTCTTTCTCCCTCTCCCTCTTCTTTCCTCTTTCTCTGAAAAAATCAGTAAAAACAGATCCTCAGGTGAAGATTTAAAATAAATAGCATTCTTCTATCCATCTATATATATAAAAGCCTAAGCAACCAGAACGACTGAAATGACCAGTCGCTATGACGTGCACTGACCACCAGGGGGAAGACACTCAATGCAGAAGCTTCCCCCTGGTAGTCAGTGAGCTCCCACAGCCAACCTCCCCAGACAGCCAACCTCCCCTGGTTTCGCCCCCGGCCGGCAGGCCCCAATCCAATCACCCAATTGGGGCCAGGCCTCAGGCTGGGATGGGGAATGGGGGGGGGGGTAGCAGCGGATGTGGCCTCTTTCCCAAGGGGGCTGAGAGCCGGCTCCCTCCTCAGGGCTGGCGGCCAACCTTCCTTGCCCTGTCCCTCCTCCTGGCCGGCAGACCCTGATCAGCCCACTGCCCACCCACCACAGTGGCGGCGTGGCAGCAAGAGCGGGGGGGGCCAAGGCGGGGAACTGCATGGTGGCAGGGTGTCAATGATGGCAGCATAAGCATCCAGCATCCGTTCCTTCTGCACCGAGCCCAGCGACCATTACCTCCTCTCTGGTCTGGCTTTGATTGGCTTGGCGCTGATTGGCCCTGATCACCAGCCAGGCCTAGGGACCCCACCCATGCATGAATTTTGTGCACCAGGCCTCTAGTGTTAAAATAATAAGCACAGAAAGAGACTAAATGGAAAGGATGAAAAACTGTTGTAGTGATTGCTTCTGTATGTAAGACTATGGATAATATTTTTCTTCTTTATACTTTTTGTATGATCTAGTATCTTTGAAATG